TTATATCCTATAAGAGTCACTCAACGATCTATGATCGCATTCAGAGACATAATTTCGAAGTAACTGGTTTAATTTTCGGGTGGGAAAGCGCTATTTTAGTTCAGACAAAATCATGCTCTTATTTAAAGGCTCAAGCGCTCGATGTAGTACATTGAGAAATATTTTATCTAACTTTGTTAGAGTAGAAGTTTAAGACAAAATTATTAAACAGCCATACTCAGTTGCAGTACGTAGATTTTAACCTGCTTAAAAGCTGAAATAAAATATACAGCGTAATCTGAGAATATCAGCCTGCTAAATTTGGACATAAGTATTTTCCCTACATAATAGTATCTGGTAGTTATGCTTCCCTGTTTATTTATTTTTAGATAAGGTACTGAAATGATTTCTTTTCGTGTGGCCTTGACTAGCCATGTTTAAATTAATCATGTTAATTAACTGTTTCCTACAGATAAATTATCTTAGTTTGCATAGTATTTAAGAATTCCCATAAAATGTACAACAGAGTTTTATTTCAACTTCTGACGTAATAACAATAAGGAAGTATACTAAATTAAAAAATTCAAATACAATGTTATATTTTATATATAGCATTTCGAAGTAACTGCAAAATATGAAACGAGAACTAATTCATAATATGGTGCACTAAACATTATGCCCATGTTTTTACCCAAGGCGTTTCGGTACGGCAGTGAGGTATATTGTTTACTTTAGGTAAATTTGGTAAATTTGGCTGAGGTAAAATTGGTTTGCTAGTAAGCGCCCGCGTTTAATATCTAACCCGGTGTGATAACAATGCCGATTTTCGAACGTTTATGAGTTATATATAAATGGTGATCCACAAAAATACAGTTCATGAATAGATACACAGCACGGATAGCATAGTTTATATACAATCAAAACACGTAATGAGTCCGAAGAAACAATACGCCTGCGACTGACAGCTGTTGACTTTGAAGGAAGTGCGTAATTGAAGCGACGATCAGATAGCAATTATAGACATAATACATATTAAAAGAAATGCCAGTATGTCACAGAACCGTATCTGAGAGAGTGTGTTGTTGACATTAAAGTATGTACAATATAAAAAAGTAAATAAGAGAAAGGACAAAAATATTTAGATAGGAAGATACAATGAGACGTAATAGATTAGTATTGGTTAAAATGACGAAGAACCGCAAGCGGTCTGCTACTATTAATACTGTTATTATAATTGAGAGTAGTTTAGAACAGGAATCGTGCTATTTTGCACGTCAGGAATTGTGCTATTTCGCACGTTAGGAGTAATATTCAGATGGATTTCTGGAATTTTAAGCTCGCGGTGAACCGCCGAGTTTCTGATGAACTAACGACAACTTGCCGCTTGTCTGAGCATAATATTTTGGAGAACTTGCAGTTTTTGCATATTAGTATTACTAGTATATCCCCAAACAGGACAGGCATATATTAATATGGAACGCAACGACGTAACAGGGTTTTATAAATGAGTATTTTGCTGTCAATAGAGAGAATGGAGTTCCAAGCAATTAAAGGGGCTAGTGTACGTTTAGGAACTCGAAACTTGAAGAGATTGTCTGGTAAACAATTTACTGTCTGGTACTTTTATGGATCTACTTCATTATCAAACTTACATTATTCCATAAATTGTTGCTGTAGTAAGTTAATATTTTCTCCGCAGTTCTTGTTGGGCAGTTGGGAAAATATTTATATGTCTTTGGAACGGCATTTCTATAGCTAATTTTGTTTTAAATTACTGCTCTTGGCAACCAAACTAAAGTGCCAAAATATTCTCTTAGGAGACAAGAGAGAAAAACATCTATATAAGGCAAATACATATTTTTGATTCTTGGCAAATGGTATTTCTAAATACATTGACCAGATTTCTTATTAGCTACTGCCCGTGCTATGGAAAAACAATTGTGGAGGAATTACTTGTAAATACATTAAATAAATGCTTAAATACATTGCTGGACGTCTTTTATGCTCTAAAGACTCGAAAATCAAGAACTCAATAGATGTATCTGGAGTTTCGTCTCGATATGACCATTGCTCTGCTAGGAAGAAACTAAGTTTACTGCTGTATAATAACAGACGATGCTTGACTTATATTACCTCGCGGTTGCTACTCATTGCGCAAAATAGATTTATAAAATCTCCTCCATTATTTTAACCAATCTTGTATGCCTTAGTTCAAAAGTAATTCATCTGAATTTTTTGTAACTGTCCTCGTTAATTCATTTCTGAATATAAGGAATTTATTTATTCGTATATGGTCAATATTCCCAAATACAAATATACAAAAAATGATAAGATTTTTCCTTTGTTTCCTAGCTTGGAAGTTCTGTAATAGCCAATCAGAATATGAAGCATTAACATTTAAAAAAATAAGTTTATTTAAAAATTATTTTGGCTTTTAAATATTAAAATAAACATAATTAACTGATGATTTTACATCGGCGTGGATTAACATTGTTTTTTCTCTTTGATCTAATTTGTGTCTGAATAAATGAATACCACTACCACTTTAAGATGATGAAAACCAAAATGATAAAATTACGTAAAATATTATTTGGTCAATAGACTATTTTAATAAGTTACAGGAAATGAGACAAACACTTAGATAAGTTTAATTATAATAAGTATTCTACAGAATACTTTATTCCTCGTTTACTTTATGCTCATAGAATGCTTTATTCCGTCTTCGATTGAATAGAACTTTGTTGACAAATGACTTGCACTCGATTTATTGAAGCCTAAACTACGTAATTTGCAAGAAGCATTGAATAAAATTGACCAGCTTTCGAATGATTTTGCCTTTGAATTTTACACGCATAGAAAGGCAACGAGATTTAAATAATAAAAACTGCATAATCAGTTTGCAAGGCTTCCTAAGATAAAATAAAGTTGTCACTACCTGCGTAGTAGTAAGGTAACGGCTTTTGAGATGAATGAAATTTGGTAAATGAGAAGGCAAAAACACAACTTCCTTCAAGGTTCTCAAAGCAGAAGTCTCAAACCTTAATAATCAAGTCGCATATGATAGCAGTTGTTTATATCAGAAGAATCGGTTTAGTGATACCAGGTTAACGCTCAAAATATAGTTCGTTGAGCAAAAGACTACTTTACAGTCTACTTCCTGTAAATTCTTTTATCGCATAGAGCAGGGTTTCTTAAACTGTGTGTCGCGACCCCAGTGGGAGACACAGGACCTGCAGCAAGGGGTATCCAAAAATTTTAGCAGTTTTTATATTTCTTTAACTTATTATAATAATTTTATAATTACCAATGTTTTTGCGCACGGTATCTGAAAATAGACAAAGATAAGACTATATAGACAAAAAAAAAAAAAAAAACACGAAAACGTTTCGACACATTATTTTTATATTATAAACGTTCATTTTTCTTGCTTTGAACGTGACGCTTCGTCTGTTACTTATTTAAAATTTGCACATTGTTCTGTGTCTTAAAATTAGAACTTATTGGGTCAGTGCATAAATTCATGCGCATTTTTAGGTAATTTTTTAAAAAAATATAAAAAACACAATATAACATTTTAATCAGTTATATATTTTCCTCCATTATCTACAACGTGTTACTATCTTACAGGCAGATATTTTATGCCACTGACTCTGTAGAATTGACTTATGTAGAAGGACTCTGGTTTTGATACAAAGAACTTGAAAGTTCATTGTGCACATCCTGTTTAGAATTTAATTTGTTTCCCAGTAAAACATTTTGTAAGGCACGAAATAAGTGAAAATCACTTGGGGCAATACCTGGAGAGAAAACAGGATGTGGCAAAAGCCCCCAACTAATTTCTCTCATTATTTTGCAGCGTTGTTCGAGTCGTATGCGGTCTAGCGTTATCATGATGAAACAACACTTTCTTGATATTCATCATTCGTGGGCGTCTTTTAATCAATTCTGAGTTTCGAAGGCAAAGTTGTTCACTATAAATGTCTGAATAAATCGTTTTATTTGGTTCTAACAGTTCAAAACGTCCTAAAACGGGGTTCATCATCAATGCTGCTTTTTCCAACGTTTATTTAAATTTTTAAAACCATTTCTGGGCAGTCCTCACACTAATAGTGTGTTCACCATGTACACTATTAATTTTTATCGCTGCAAACCTGGCAGATTCACCACACGAAAATAAAATATGTACCACAGCACGTTTGTGTTGATTATCTGTATTCATCTTCTATGGGTACTAAAATGCGTTCGATATTTACGAAAGTTGGTGATAAACTGAATAATATGTCAAACGATGACAAGTTTCAACAGGTTCAAAATTATATTGTTTTAGTAAATGCGTCACAGTGCATACTCTTAATGCGCATGAACTTATGGACTGATCCGATAAATTTAATGACCTAAAACTGCAGCAGTACAACAGAACTATTAATAATATAATATATAAACTGTAATATACAGTACAAGTTAACAAATTGACAGTTTCGCTCACTCGTGTGTCGGATTTGCGCAATACTCATGGAGTCCCACAACATTTTTTTGAATATTATGGGGTCCTGGGGATTGCGAAAAAATCTCAGTGATAAAAAATGGTCGCGACTGAAAAACGTTTAAGTAACCCTGGCATAGAGGATAGATTCCATCTACGAATGGTGATAACGGAGAGATATATTTAAAATTAAGGTATATAAAATCGTGTGCAGTTAAATTGCTATTTTAACGAAACACTGTTTTGAGCTAAGCTGAAGTGTGAAGAGCGTAATCTTTAGTTTCCCAAATCTGAAGATCTCTATATCGGTACGATGTTACTGAAGCTAAAATGCGATGAATATGAAATTAAATAGTACTATTAGTTGCAGACTTTTACTTGTCTGAATAAGGGTTAATCATTTGGATTAATTGTATGTTTTAAAACTTAAAATTTGATTCGTCGACATTGAAAGTATTCACAACAAAGAAACATTTATTACAGGAATAAACTTAACTTCAATTTTACTTAAAATATATTTAAAAGTATACAAGCTTACCCTTTTTACCAACGTGGAAATTATCATTTGGCTGTATCCTGATAATGTGGGTTGATAGTCGCATTTTGGGCAAGATTGTCTTATTGCTGTTTATTTTATCCGCTGCGTGACGTAAATGTGTTTCAGAATCCGTGTCTGTAGTTTCAAAAAGTCCAACTGAAACATAAATAAATAAATAAGTTAGACTAGCTAAAACATAAAAATTCCTGTAATGAAAGAAATAACGAAGCATTTAATTATTCCTCGTTTAGAGGTATGATTATTTTTTTGTAGAGCAATGGTATTCAAACAGTTTGGCAGTGCAACCCCACAGAATTGCAAACAATCCCAAAACACAATTTCCCGACCACACTCAGAGCGTCGGCCTTGATTGTATACCATAAACCGATATGTGACCTGAAGATTTCTATCTACTTTGTGACCACAAGTGGAGTTGCGACAAATAGTTTGAATACCAATGCACACACAAAAAAATTTTACTTGGTAATCAGTTATAATATCTACTATAATTAAGTAGTACTTCTTATCACAAACACTCCAAAAATATTTATATGCAGTTTCCTTGGTTTCGAAATTTTCAAAACTATTTTTATTAGATTCATTGATTGAGTAAAACATAGGAAATAGAAATAAAATTACTGTATTTCCTGAGAATTGAATATAGAATGAAAATCTAGTCATTATAAGCTGCATAAAAATATTCATTTAATGATATTGTAATATATTTGTCACGTATCAATGTTAGGTATCTCAAAGGTGGAAAGTCTGCTCACAAGCGAAACAGGAAAGATAATTTTTATGCTTTTAACGTTTTAAATGCGTATGAAGCATATTTTAGTAACCAAAAATTTAAACACATTGATAGAAAGAGTGTAGAGACATTAGGTACTTTTTGGAAGCAGAAAAGATGAAAAATTAGCGTCTTCCCAGCGGCCAGAACCACTACACCACGAAGGTACTTAGGAAGGCGGGCGAAATACCTTATAAGTGATATTCTAAAACTGAAAAAAGCATGAACTAGGAGAATTCAGAATAATATATTACATTTGTATGAATATCTAGACACAAACATTTAAATTTGCATGGATGTTTAGACAGTGTGTCAGCCAAGTTCGGAACAGACGGAAAGAAAACAGCGATACACCGGCTTATGTGTATTTTACGCGAACCATTCCAAGCTACATTTGACCCCCGAATTAATCAAAAAACTATTAGACCTAAAAACGTGTAATTTTGCATGTCTAATAGAACTACCTTGAATACCAAGCATCCCAAATTGCATTAATGTACCTCTTATAGTTATCGAATTATTAAGATCTGAAAAACGTCATTTTTATCGCTCATTGACTGTCTCACTCATTATAAACCTAGACCACTTCTAAATGACTTAGATGCTTGAAATTTAGTATCTGGTAGGTTAGAAGACATATACAAAGGAAAAACTTAAAAAAACTGCATTATTATCGAGGTTAATTCTCATAACGAGATCCAAATAATACTCATAACGAGCATTTGAAAACGTCACCAATAGATGACTTTGCACCGATTGCCGTTTTCCGCATCACTCATATGCTCATCAACTTTGTCAAAGGTGAAGAATAAAAAAATAGAAACATGTTTGTAATTGATGAAATGATAGCGCAGAGGTAGAGTGTGGACTGGCTTTTTTTTTTTCATTTTGATAGTAGGTTCGGGCCTAACTACAGCGATATCGCGAAAAGAGTGTAAACGGCTTTCAAACGATATAAAGCGTTGCCGCTCAGCAATTCAAATTTAAGTAACGAAACAGATGCCAGATGCAAATAAAACAGCAGAAAATGAATAAAAGGAAATGTGAAATTATACTTTGAAATAAGATTTTAACTATATATTGCTTAGTAATTAAGAATAGCTGTTTAAAATTATTTTTTAAATTTTTGCGTCATTTTAAAAATCTAAAATTTCAAAATACCAGGGCAGCGTAAAACAAAGGAAAAAAAAATGAATGTCAGATATTTGTTCAGACGCTTTTTCATTTACGTGTCTAAATAGTGTAAAAGGGGAACATAACCTTTAATATCATCTTTTTTATCTTTAAATTAATATCATAACTACATCATAAATGTAATAAAAGGGCTAAGTTCGGGAGAAAGGACGTTCGGTATAGTCGATGTCACCGACAAAATTGTTAAGATATATATAGGATGAGAAGTTCCATAACAGTTCCTTTAATCGTAGCTGCAGGAAAGTATAACGTTCTTAAATTCATTTAAAATGCAGTTTATTACTTTTTGGATGTATAACTTGGACAGTTAATTTCGAACTGGAAAAGTCAAATTTTTTTAACGTAATTTATTGACAACTAAATCTTTTGCCGATGACACCGACTACACCGAACGTCGTTTCCCCTGAACTTGGCCCCTTTTTCACATTTATGTTGCTATGATTTAGTTTATTTGAAAGAAATCGAACAATTGCTTCTCCATTTTTAAAAGTGTGAAACACAGGCGTCATTTATGAAATCAGTGAGAGTTGTTTGATAATTAGTAAGGATTAAATAAATGTGAAAATTTTCCGCTATGATACTGGGTTTTATATACTACTAAAAGTTGAGGTTTTAAAAGTTTACTTTTAATTTGCTTACGGACTAAAAATTAAAATATAGAACTGAGATTTTAATCATTATTTCCTTTAAAATACACGATTTGTATTATTAATGATTTAAGGAAAATTATTAGGTTTTATGCAACATACGAATTGAGTACTTCGTTTTTAAATTATATTTTATGTTATAGTCTCGTACTTATCAACGGTATTAAAAGAATACTACTTAACTGCTGGAACTTATTTATAATACTAACGTTTAATGCGGAATCATTCATTCAATTTTAATACAGATGGAAGGCAAATTTTTTATGTATTCTGAGGAATAATCAAACAGCATTTCCGTATAGGTAAAGGTTCAAATGTTTTTTTCCAAATTCTTATAACTTTTATCCATAAATTGAGAATTGTCTCGAACTCAAGAATCGATGTCTTGCCTGTTGCTATCTTGGAACCTTAAAAGAAAGAGAGAAAATTCAAATAGGATTTTAATGATTTTGAGTTAACGCATATGTGGTCAATACGCTTAGCCAAAGATTCAAAGAAAACATTTCTTTGTTACAAACTTTGTAAATTGAATTGCTATGAAAGAGAAATTAAAATCTAAAAATTCTCTGGAAAAAAAAAACCGAACTAAAAATATAATTTAAACAATGAACAATGTGAAGGGACATATAACGTAAATATGTGAAAGTCGTATGCATTCACATTGATTTCTTTTTTGAATAAATTGTTCTGTTAGTTACATGTTTTGACAACTTGAGATTTTTTTTTTTAACTTCAAAATTGCTTTATGCATAGGAGCACTAAGATGAAAATGAAAACTATCAAAAACTGAAAAAATTATATGTAACAACAGATGTGATGCGTTATAAAATGAACGAAATAAGATACAAATAAAAGAATGTGATATAAAATCATTCTTCTACACAAACATAACTTTAGAGATCACAAATGAATGTAGAGATTGGTAAACGAATTATTAAAGTCCTGAGGAAAATGAAAAAAAAAGGGGAAAAGGAAACCGTGATTTTCCATTTGAATATATATGTTCATTAATCACATGAATAAAAAAATAATATATTTCAAAACGTTTTTTGGAAAACGGTTTTAACATAAAATAAAAATTAATTCACGACAGACTTTACTGTCTCAGTTATTTTCCGCTTTGAATTTCAAATCAGTTTTTCACTTCTTGTGTGAAAGTAAATTAGTTTCCAGAAATATTTACTGATTGATTTTCCCCTCTTTTTTCACCAATCGTACTTAATATAGTATTAAAAAGGAGCTATAATTAGATGCACTAATATTACTCTAGTCTACGCTTCAATGAAGTCAACTGTTGCTAGTACAAGTATGAAGTCTCTAAATAATATACAGAAACAAAACTATTCTCCATCCTCCCCATGAAACAAAGTCTGTCCAATGAGAAAGACAAACTATTTTTTCTTAATTTATACAATATTTTCCTCCAAGTAAGATCGAATTTAAAGAAATTCCATAAAGTTGTAATTAAAACTTAAACATCTGCAATTTCAATACGTCATAACATTTCCACGTAGCAATAGTCAGAACACCAGAATTTCTGAACTTGTACAGTTGTAGAGGTGTAGGGTTGTACAGATGTAGCCCCGTCACACTAACTACGCGGTTAAGCCCAATTTTGAGGGAGAACGCTCCGGGAGGGGGGCTGGTCCGGGATCTCTCACTCCTCTTCTCTTACCATTACCTCTAGAGAGAACTTTTGGTTCGCCTTGGATTTTGAATGTCCTCTTGCCACACAGACAATATATGCTTATGAATACCCATGCTTCCTTCAGGATACGAGCCCGGGGACATAGGTACGGCAATCATCATTACTAACCGCTATACCGGATGGGCGACAAAGCGTCATACGTGGGAAAAACTAATTGATTTTCTTACACGGTGTATTAATTTGAAGACCAATGTAATTTTTCATAGGCATAAAACACCTGCAAAATCTAAAGCTAAAACAGTTTGTCTATGTTTAAATGTTCACAAGGAAAAAACACATTTATTACTAGAGCTTAAACTATTCTGTTGTTTACTGACTCTAAATAAGATTAATTTGAATTTAAATCACAAAGCAATTTTGTAGCTTCAAGGTAAAAAATGAAATTGAATTCAGTTCAAATTTTAACTCTTAAATGTGCCGGGCTCCACAAATTAGTTCTCGGTCGTAAGGCAAAATAGATAATTCAGTTTATGCCAAGTGTCAAATTTCCTTCTATCATCCTATCGTGGTGGTGAGAAATTTCCAAGTACCAAAAACTTCAGTACTCTGAACCTTCCAAAATCAAACTCGGAAGCTCTCTCAAACAGAGAATTAAATACGATTTATGTTTCAAATAACTCCTTACAAACCAATAACTCTATTACACAAAAGGATCAAAAGATCGCAGAAGTAACTCAGTAGGCATATAATAAAAATGCAAAACGTTTTCATAAGCTGTTAGTGGTGGTGACACAAACACTGTATTTAAGGAACTATTAAAAGTCTTTTGAATTGAAAACATATTTTGAAATAAGCAATTCTTTAAGTTTACCCATCT